TAGGTTGAAAGTAAATGAGTGGAAAATATAATATGCAAATATTAACCAAAAGAAAGCAGGAGTGGCTAAATTAGTATTAAGGTAGACCTCAGAGCAAAGAAGATTACCAGGGACAAGGAGAGACATTACACAAAAACAGAAGAACCAATTAACCTGGAAGATACATTAATCCTAAATGTGTACGTAGCAAGCTACAGAGCTGCAAAATATATGGAGTAAAAACTAATAGAACCAAGAGGAGAAAGAATCCACAATAGGAAATTCAACTGTCTCTCAATGGGTAGAATCACTAGACTGAAAATCAGAAAGAATAGAGAAGAACTCAAGAAGATCAACCAAGGTGACGTATTGCCATTTATAAAACATTGTGCCGACAAGAGAACAATACACATTCTTTTCAAGCTCACATGGAACATTCACCAAGATAGAGCATATCCTGGGTCACAAAACAAATTTTAACAAATGTAAAAGAATGAAGAAAATATGGAGTGTGCTCTCTGGCCATAATTGCTTTAAACTAGAAATTGATGACCAAAGATTACAATAAAACCTCCAATTCTGGCTTTAAAATAGTCCATGGCTCAAAGAGGAAAAGGGAAATAAAGAAGTATATGGAACTGAATGAAAATGAAAATGAAAATCAAAATCAGAGGATTGCAGCTAAAGCAATGTTTAGTGGACAATTTAGAACACCAAATGCTTACATTTTTAAAAGAGAGGTTGAAAATCAATAATCTAAGCATCCACTTTAAGAAACTAGAAAAGGTCAGGGACAGTAACTCATGCCTGTAATCCCAGAACTTTGGTAGGCTGAGATAGACAGATTGCTTGAGCCCAGGATTTTAAGACCAGCCTGGGCAAACTGGCAAAGCAAGGAAACCACCATATAAAAATGAGCAAAGGTTCTTCATTGCCAATTTTCCACAGAAGACATAAAATAGCCAACAAGTATGTGAAAACAAATGGTTAACATTATGAATTATCAGGAAATGCAAATTAAAAATGCAATCAGATACCACCTCATTAGAGGTGTTAGAATGGTTATGATAAAAAGAGATGAAAGATAAACAAGTGTTGATGAGGATGTGAAGAAAAGGGAACCCATGTACATTATAGGTGGGAATGTAAATTAGTACAGCCACTATGGAAAACCAACATGAAATTTCCTCAAAACACTAAAAATAGGATTATCATATGATACAGCAATCCCACTTCTGGGTATACATCCAAAGGAACTGAAATCAGTATGTTGAAGAGACATCTGCGCTCTCATTACTCCCATGTTCACTTCAACATTATTCACAATAGCCAAGATAATGGAACAGACCCAAGTGTACATCAGTGGATGAATGGATGAAGAAAATGTGGTATATATACACACCCACACCCACACATACACACACACAGACACACACACACACACACACACACACACAATGGAATACCATTTAGCCTTAGAAAGAAGGGAATGTTGTCACGTGCAACAGCATGGATGAAGCTGGAGGTCACTATGTTCAGGGAACTAAGCCAAGCACAGAAACACAAATACTGCATCATCTCACTTATGTGTGACTCTTCAAAAAAGAAAAAAAAAAAATCGAACTCACAGAAGCAGAGAGTAGAATGGTGGTTAACAGAGGCCAGGAGGGAGAGGGAACAAGGAGACGTTGGTCAAAGGGCCCAGCGTTTCCGTTAGGCAGGAGGAATCAGTTGCAGAGATCTGCGGCACAGCATGGTGACCGTGGTTCCTAATAGCGTATCATATTTACAAATTTGCTGAGAGTGGATTTTAAATATTTTTACCACAAAAATAAGCATATGAAGCAACTGATGTATTAGTTTGATTTAATCATTCTACAATATATACATCTATGAAGACATCACATTGTATCCCATAAAATAATTGTTATTTGTTAAAGATTAATAAGATACTCTGTCCTGACCACTAACAAAAAAGAAAATCAATATAATTCACCTTACTAAGAATCTGGCCGGGCGCAGTGGCTCATGCCTGTAATCCCAGCACTTTGGGAGGCTGAGACGAGCAGATCACAAGGTCAGTAGATTGAGACCATCCTGGCTTACACGGTGAAACCCCGTCTCTACTAAAAAATACAAAAAATTATCTGAGTATGGTGGCACGTGCCCGTAGTTCAAGCTACTTGGGAGGCTGAGGCAGGAGAATTGCTTGAACCCAGGAGGCAGAGGTTGCAGTGAGCCGAGATTGTGCCACTGCACTCCAGCCTGGGTGACAGAGCAAGGCTCCATCTCAAAAGGAAAAGAAAACTTTATTGACAGATGACATGATTTTCTACATAGAGAAAGCACAAAGTGTCTACCAATTTATGAATAAATGCTATTAGAATAAATGAGTTTAGCAAGGTTGCAGGATAGAAGGTCAATATACAAAAGTCAGATTTCTATATACTAGTAATGAAAAATGGAAATTGAAATAAGACAGTACTCTTTACAATAGCACCAAAAACACGAAATATTTAGGTATAAATTTTACGATATGTGCAAGATCTTTATCCTAAAAACTACAAAAATATTCATAAAGTAAATTAAAGATGGCCTACAAACAGTAAGAGACATTCACGTTCAGGTATTTAAAGAGCCAAAATAGTAAAGATGCCAATTTCCTTATAATTACTCTCCAGATTGAAACAAATTTCAATATAAATCTCAGGAGAATTTTTATAACAATTTACAGACTAATTCTAAAATTCACTTGGAAAACAAGAGAATTGGAATAGTCTGAATAATTTTGCAAAAGAACAAATTAGAGGACTCAGATTATCCAATTTCAAAGTTTGTATAAAGTTACATTTTCAATGTAATGTGTTATTTGATAAAAGATACACATAGATGATTGGAACAAAAGAGAAAGTCTGAAAATTAACCCATGTAAATATGGTTGATTTTGGACAAAGGTACACAGGTGATTCAATGGAGAAAGAAGAGTTTTTTTTAACAAATGATGCTGAATCAGTGAATATTCATATGCAAAAAACACAGCTTGATCTTTATCTTTCCCTTATAAAATTTAACTCAAAATGCATCAGAGACCTAAATGTGAAACTCATAGCTATAAGACTTTTAGAGGAAATCTTAGAACATCTCTGTGATCTTAGGTTAGGCAAAGATTTCATAGATACAATCCATCCCCCAAGCCCAGGCATTTTAGAAGAAAAATTGTACTTCAAAGTTAACACTTGCTCTTTGAAAGACAATGGGAAAGAATATTAGCAAACCCTTATCTCATAAAAAACTTGTATACCAAATATATAAATGACTATCAAAACTCAGTGTTAACAACCCAATTAAAAAATAGGTCAAAAGATTTGAAGAAATGCATCAAAGAAGATATGTTAATGGGAAATAAAAAATTGCTCAATGTCATTGGGAAAAGGCACGGTAAATATCACAATGAGGAGTCACCACACGCCCATTCAAATGGAAGACAGAAATCAAATCCAGGGAAGTATCTGAAATTACTGAAAGGAAATAAGTATTTACAATTGCTGTAGGCTAAGATTCATTAGATATGATACAGAGAGCAAAAGCCATGAAAGCCAGCTAAGCATGATTACAGATACCTAAAGAGTTTTGCCTCAAAACACTAGAAATAAATTATCTTAACATAGACATTCTCCAATTCTTTAAAATAAAAGAAAAAAAGTTAATACCAGCTGCATGATACTTTCTTGTGTGGATATACGACGTTAATGTAAACAATCTCTTATGTTTGGGCAGTTAGGGAGCTTCAGCTCTTGACTATTACAAATGCTGCAGTGAACAGCCAATGTACTTGAATCATTGGAGATAAACCTTCACAGTAAATTCTTTTTAGTGGCATTGGCAGTGCAAAGGGTATATGTCTTTTCTTAGATGTTGCCAAAAAAGCACTATAAGCTCATGATGACTAGCAATAATCTGGAAGAAAATGTCTGTAGGCCTGGGGTGGTGGCTCATGCCTGTAAGTCCAGCACTTTGTGAGGCCAAGGCTGATGGATCCTGAGGTCAGGAGACCGAGGCCATCCTGGCTAACACGGTGAAACCCCGTCTCCACTAAAAATACAAAAAATCAGCCAGTTGTGGTGGTGGGCACCTGTAGTCCCAGATACTCGGGAGACTGAGGCCGGAGAATCGCTTGAAGGCAGGAGCCGGAGGTTGCAGTGAGCCGAGATAGCTCCACTGCACTCCAGCCTGGGCAACAGAGCAAGACTATGTCACACACACACACACACACACACACACACACACACACAAAGTCTGTAAAGTTTCAAAAGACAAGGCTTCTACCTGTACTACATAAAATCTCAAGAAAAACAATTTACAGGAAAGCAAACCAGCGGCAAAAATCAGCCAGATGGAGGGAGAGGCAGCTCACTGAAGCAGCAACCAAGTGACGAATGGACTCCCAAAAGGTACCACTCAGCAAGACAGGGTATTGAGGTCAGAATCTATCCACTGCTTATGGGAATATAAATTGAAAGCCTCCTTGGGAAGACCTTTATCATCTAATGCAAGTGCCATGCCTTCAAGAACATGAGCGATTCTCTTTTCAGGCATGAGTGTATTGATGTCTATCCTCAAAGAATCTTACAAAAAACAAAAAAAAAATCCCTGTTCTCCCTTCATTCATTTTGATGTAGAAATTGGAAGTCTTTGGCCGGGTGCAGTGGCTGACACCTGTAATCTCAGCACTTTGGAAGGCCGAGGTGGGCGGATCATGAGGTCAGGGGATGCAGACCATGGTGAACATGACGAAACCCTGTCTCTACTAAAAATACAAAAACTAGCTGCTGTGGTGGCGCATGTCTGTAATCTCAACTGCTCTGGAGGCTGAGGCAGAAGAATTGCTTGAACCACAAAGTCGGAGGTTGCAGTGAGCTGAGATGGTGCCACTGCACTCCAGCCTGGCGACAGAGCAATAGTCTGTCTAAAAAAAAAAAAAAAGTTTTCAGGGGACATTTAAGTCACAAAGCAGAGCTTACCCATGTGGTACGTGATCACGCCATGTATTGTCCAGGTGACAGCAGCTCCTGAGGTATGGAGGGCAGCCTCCCTCTTCCCATAGGTACAGGTGCACTGAGTCTTCGGATGTGGTGAGCACATAGAGAGCATCCTTCCAAGGATAGCCAGAGTTAATGGCCAAGGAGTCAAAGTCAGACCAAAAAGCAGTGGAGGAGAATCATACATACCGCCCAGAAGTTGTTGATGGGTGTCTGATGGTCCTGAAATCGTTGCAGCAGGAAGCCAGTGATGCTGAAAAGGAGCAAGTATGGCCCACTGGGAAAGACAACCAAGTATCCATCACTGGCTCCTATCCAGAAAGGGCACTTCAGATGAGGTGCCAACTGGAAACGTGAGATCTCACATGCTGGTTTCATGTAAAACACACAAGGAAGTGAAGATCAGATCATTGAATAAGAACAATATCCTTACACTGAATAAAAAAGCATGATCCCACTTCTGCAGACTTCATGCCAGGGAGGAAAATGAAGGTTAGTCCAGTGGCCTGACAAATACGTGTCACTGACTGTGGTAACAGGTGCTAGGACACAGGGGCAGAAGTTTGTAGACAATAAGCACTCACTTGGGCCTTGAGGCAAAACGTGTAGTGGGAAGGACCATTGGAACCCAGGCCCTGAAACATGATGGAAATCTCCACATGTTCGCCCAAGAGGGCAGAGTGAGGGATAGAGATCAGCATGGGTATTGGAGTCAAACAGGGGTGGGTTCACCCCCAGCTAAAGAAATCCCTGCTCCCTCTACAGACTGACCGTTTACATGGATTTATAGCTTCACATGAATGCCTGTGTGATGATGAAGAGAAACAAGTGTTTCTAATGCGGCACAGCCTACCTTGGACGACTGTTTGACCTCCAGTATTCCTGGTTGTTAGATCAAAGGTGATAATTTCTGTCTTTTTTCCGCGGTCATTTTCGGACATCAGTGTAATCCTGTTTTTCATCTTTGGGTTCCAGCAGGCGGTGGTGCAGAATTTATGTGGGAGAAAGGTAGACAGGGGAGCGCTGCCTTCTGATGGTCTCAGCAAGTCCTCTGCGAGGAACACCTAAAGCCAGCATCACGTGCGAGGTCAGGGGCAGGGAACTTACAGCCTCTCAGTACAGGAGCGACTCCAGAGGAGCCTTCTCAGAAACCATCATCCTGTGGCCAAAGCTTTGTTCAACCTCTCAGGAGTGATGAGTAGTCACTGCTTGTCACTCCAACATTCAGGGAACTCACTGTCTTCCTAACCTTCCTGTTCTGTTCACAGAACAATGTCCCTGAAGCATGCCAAGGGGTTACAAAACCACCTTGCCATGTTGAACCCTTGGTCAAGCTGAGGTTGGCTAAGCAGATTTTCCCTTCTTGGGGAACAAGTCAAGGGCTGTGCGGCTTTTACTACCCGCCTTCTGAACTCCTCCCTCTTTGGTGCCCAGTCCACCGGTGCCACCCTACAAATGGCCTGCTCAAAGGCAAAAGGCCTCCTCAGAGTGACATTCGGGGGCTGATGCATAGTCACTTGCTTTTGGACTTCTCTGTACTTTCCAGCCAACAGAGATAAAAGTAAAGTCAAGAAGGCCAAAGAGAACAACGTGAAACATCTTTTGGTAAAATAATAAATCAATAAAATTTAAATTAAAAAAAATTTTTTTTGAGAGGCAGGGTCTCTCCATGTTGCCCAGGCTAGAGTCCAGTGGCTATTCATAGGTGCAGTCCCAATACTGATGAGCATGGGAGTTCTGACCTGTTCAGTTTCTCACCTGGGCCAGCTGACCCCTCCTTATGCAACCTGGTGGTCCCCTGCTCCCAGGAGGTAAGATACTGATGCCGGACTTAGTGTGGACACCCTGTAGCATCGCACACTACAGACTAGAACTCCTGGGCTCAAGCGATCCTCCCACCTCAGCCTTCCGAGTAGGTGGGACTATAGGTGCACGCCACCATGCCCAGCAATCGCTATTTCTTGATACCTGTCTCACCTGTCTCGCCCTTCTCCATCTCTGTGGCAAATCTGGGCTTCCTGAACTCGTTTTCGTTAACATTGGCCATGGCAACTGGATGCTGTTGCTTCAAAGAGCATTGCTTCCTGACTATCACAATGGATTCCTCTTGTGATGTGGTCTTAGAGAGGAGGGAGCAGTGCACCCGGGCCTCACTGAGCTCTGCAGTTTCTCTGCACGCTTCCTAACTTGACATTCCCAACCTGAAGTTGGAATACACACAACAGCACCTACCTGTGGAAAGGCACAACTGTATGTCCCACATGCAAACACCCATTTCTTGTCAGGAGAGCAGCGTAGAAGTACAATAGCACATTGAAATGCAGTAACTTTAGAAACATCCCTTAACTCAGGCAGTGTAAATGTGTAGATGTCACCTGCAGCGTCGCCAACCTGAAACCAAAGCATCCCCACCACATCAACAGGAAGATATGTGAAATCCTGAAGTACACAGGAGGCAGCACTGTCAGCTGCAAGACGTGCCACCGTTTCTTCAGTCACAGAATGGAGACCCAAACCCTGACCAGTCTAGCGTGAGACATTGTTGGGATAATCCCATGGAATAAAGCTTTCCAAGCCCCAAAGCATTCTTCTCAAGGACACTTATTCATTAGCATATAAATGCTATACTTTTTCTCAGTGTCACCTCAAAGCCATCTCTCCCCCTCAACTGTCCCTGACCAAGTTCATGGATTGTAAAATACACGCTTGAAAGAAGAGGCACATATAAAGTAATTCAGGAAGGTCCTGGCTTTTTGTTTTTAGAAGAATGGCTGGGGAAATGTACTTGAGGCAGGTCAAGGGCCAAGATAGCATAGAGGTTTGTACAACAACATTTACCTGTAAATTCTGATTATCTTGCAGGGTATGTAGAAGGAATGACTACAAAAATAGAAATAGGCTGGGTGCTGTGGCTCACGCCTGTAATCCCTGCACTTTGTGACGTTGAGGCAGGTGGAAAATGAGGTCAAGAGTTCGAGACTACCCTGGCCAGCATGGTAAAACCCCATCTCTACTAAAAATACAAAAAATTAACTGGGCATGGGGGCACATGCCTGTAGTCTCAGCTACTCAGGAGGCTGAGGGAGGAGAATTGCTTAAATCTGGCAGGCAGAGATTGCCGTGAACCAAGACTGTGCCACTGCACTCCAGCCTCGGTGACAGAGGAAGACTGTCTCAAAAAAAAGAAAAAAAGCACTAGAGATATGACAGTAATGTGACACGTATGCCTGTCAAGACAGTGGGCATTTGATATTTTGGTCCCTTCTAAATTCAGGGCTCACTTACCATGAGGAATGGGCCATCCTTTGTGACATGGGCTTCCATGCAATAACAGGTTTCTGGCATGGGGAAAGTGGCCAGAGGATCCCTGTCCTGACAATTCCACACTTTGATCATTTTGCTCATATCCTCAGTGATGACAAGATGCATCTGAGGGAGGGTTACCAGATTTGAGAACTGGAACTTCTGGACTGGGCTTGACCAGATCGTGGTGCCCTAGAGAACGAGAGTAACACAATCTGTGTTCCAGAAACTCTTACACCCACTGTGCCTTCATCCTGCCCATGTTTATTTGGAAGCCTCTTCCAAATCAGATCCTCTTGCTTCTGGGCAAAGGACATGAAAATTCTCCACACCTCAATATTTGGGAGGAGTGAACATGACAACAGGAACTAAGCACTATGCTCAGACACAAGAACTTGGTTCATTACAGGCGTAAAGAATGATCAGGCTTGCTGGGTTCAAATCACCTCCGCCAACAAGGCACCTTCAGCAAGTCACTTTCTATCATACCTTCTAATGAGGCTGTCATTACCTTTCACAACTCATGAAACATACTTAGAATTCTGCATAGGACACAATAAGAACTCAAAACATATTAACTAACATGAAAATTGTTATTCCTTCATCAACCTTGTACATTACACAAGATACAATAGTTGTCTTTCTAGATGATTCTTTAGCCTTTTAAACAAATTGGGAAGTATATCACACAAGAAGAGGGCATGAAGTTTGCTAAATTATTGAAGTGAATACCAATGCACCACTTCTAAGCCCTCCCAGAGTCCCCTCCTCATGTGCTCTATTCACAACTCCCCGAACTCAAATGTCATCACTATTTTGATTCCTGACAGTATAGCAAGTTGCCTGTGCAGTCACATCTATGGTCATGAAGCCAAGCATCCCAACATTTAGTGACCTAAAACAGGCTTTTGCTTTCTCACAGTTCTTCTGATCAGAAATTCAGGTGCAGCTTGACTGGGGAGTCCGGCTGCAGGTCTCTCATGAGGGTAAAGTCCAGTTTCACTTCCAAGATGGCTCCGTCATCCAGCTGTGTCAGTTGGAGCTGGCTGCTGGCAGCGGTCCCCAGTCCCTCACCACATAGATCTCTCTGGAGGGCTGCTGAGAGCTCTCATAACACTGTGGCTGGACTTCCAAGAGCTAATGATCCATGAGAGAAGAACCGTCTTCTGTGACAGAGCTTCAGAAATTAGACTCCATAATTTCCACTATATCCTATTGGTCCCACAGGTCAGCCCTATTCACTGTGGCCATTGGCTACACAAGATCGATCGTGATGATTGTGGGGCAAAGGCATTAGGGCCATCTCAGAGACTGGCAGCCATAGTCGGCTCCATAGCCTCCAATGATTCACTTTCCCCTATGTGAAAATACATTCACCATCTCCCGATGCCCTCAAATGTCTCACACCATTATAGTATCATTGCAAAATCGAGGATCTCATTGTTTCTAGGTCCAGGTATAGATGAGGCTCTTTAGATTCAGTTTCTTTTGATGTGAAAATCTTCAAACTAGATATACACGTTATCTGTTCCTCACCACCCCCAAAGTACAAATGTGGGGTAAGCATAGGATAACATAGTCACTGTCATTCACAAAAGGTAAAAATGGAAACACAGGAATCCCTGCTATAAGACATTCTGAAACCCAACAGAGGACATGCTGGCAGTTTGTGGATTAGCACTCAAGGCCCAGGAAAGAATTTTCATGACACTTGGATCCACTCTCTGGGCTCTTGATTCTGAGTCATCCTTCACTTTCTGTATATGGCGGCCCGATTTTTTAGCTAAATTGTTTTGGTAGTCTGCTTCCTGCCTGTAAAAGTTTTGAAATCCAAAAGGCCTCTTTTCCTTTTGTGTTGTTTTGGCCCCTTTACATCCAAGCTGGCAGTGTTTCTGCCAGTGTAATTCTCTTTAACAAAAGCTTTGTGGGTCTCCTAAGAACCTCACTGCACTTTACACCACTAGACAAAGACACACTCAGTTTTTGAGATAAATCCTTGGTGCGCCTTGGAGGTGATCTGAGATAGAGACCACATTCTGAAAAAGCCAATATAACAAATGCCAATCATCTACAAAGAGGCAATAGAACAGGTGATAAAGATGCACAAACCCAAAATTACTTCACAAATTTACATGTTACTGGCAGAAAATAAGTTATTGTACAAATTTATTGATAGTGACACATGTTAAAAAGGAATTGTCAGCTGAGTGAGTTGGCTCATACCTGTAATTCCAGCACTTTGGGAGGCTGAGGCTGGTGGATCACTTGAGGCCAAAAGTTGGAGAACAGCCTGGCCAACATGGTGAAACCTGTCTCTACTAAAAATACAAAAATTAGCCAGGCATGTTGGCATGTGTCTGTAATCCCAGCTACTCAGGACATTGAGGTACAAGAATCGCTTGAACCAGGGAGGTACAGGTTGCAGTGAGCCGAGATCACACCACTGCACTCCAGCCTGGGCAACAGAGTGAGACTTCATCTCAAAAACAATTAAAAAGTGAGTTATCTGTGTCTATGGTCCAAATGAAAAGGTTGCAAATTACCAGATAGAACCGGATTTGAAACTTTGTTTTTGTTACCACTTCCACTTCCGTATCATATATAGAACAGGACAGAGGCCAGGATGCAGCACTTTTGCTACATATTGGCCAGACTCACCTCTTGCACATCCCAGGCACAAAGCTCGCCCTTTGCAGATACACTACAAATGATTGACTTCTCCTGTTCATCCATTGTAAAGGTATTTCCTGAGAGATAAGCCAAACCTGCTTCATATGCTAGAAGGAAACACAGAAGACTTGGCCAACAGATAAAGGATGATCCAAATCCAATGAAGACAATTTTAAATATTTCTGTGCCCTCTTAGGAGGGTTTGGGTAGCAATATGGAAAAGATAGACATTGGGCTCCAGAGTCAACCTAACGCAGGTTCCCATGGCAGACTGCCCATTTGGGAGATGTTGGTCAACTGGCTTTTCCTTTTTATCCTCAGTTTCCATAGATATAAAATGCATATTAAAAAGTCTCCATCAGGCTGGGCATGGAGGCTCACACCTGTAATATCAGCACTTTGGGAGGGAGAGGTGACATGGATCTCCTGAGGTCGGGAGTTGGAGACCAGCCTGACCAACAAGGTGAAACCCTGTCTCTACTAAAAAACAAAGTTAGCCGGGCATTGTGGAAGGCGCCTGTAATCCCAGCTATTCGAGGCAGAGGCAAGAGAATCCTGTGAGCCCAGGAGGTGGAGTTTGCAGTGAGCCGAGATCCTGCCGCTTCACTTCAGCCTGGTGATGAACTGTGATTCTGTTATTTAAAAAAAAATAAAAATTAAAATTAAAAAAAAAATTAAAAAGTGTTATCAGGATTAGGCCAGGCACAGTAGCTCATGCCTGGAAGGCCAAGGCAAGAGGATTGCTTGAGCTCAGGAGTTCCAGACCAGCCTGGGTAACACACTCAGACCTAATCTCTACAAAAAATTAAAACGTTATGAACAGGCATGATGGCTTATGCCTGCAATACCAGCACTTTGGGAGGCCAAGACAAGTGGATCACTTGAGGTCAGGGGTTCAAGATCAGCCTGGCCAACATGGTGAAACCCCATCTCTACTAAAAATACAAAAATTAGCCAGACATGGTGGAACACACCTGTAGTCCCAGCTACTCAGGAGGCTGGGGCAGGATAATTGCTTGAACTTGGGAGACAGAGTGGGCCATGAGCCAAGATCGTGCCATTGCACTCTAGCCTAGAGGACAGAGCAAGACTCCACATCAAAAAAAAGTTAGCTGGGTGTGGTGGTACGCCCCTGTAGTCCCAGCTACACAGGAGGCTGAGGCAGGAGGATCTCTTGAGCCAAGGAAGTTGAGGCTGCAGCTGTAGAGCCTCTGTATGTATGTATTTATTTAGAGACAGGGCCCGGCTCTGTCACCCAGGTTAATTTGTTTTAATTTTGTATAGAGATGGGGGTCTCACTTTGTTGCCCAGGCTGGTCTGGAACTCCTAGGCTCAAGCAATCTGCCTACCTTGGCCTCCCAAAGTTCTGGGATTACAGGCATGAGCCACTGTGCTCAGCCACGCCTGTTTTTTAAAGAGTTTCACATTAATATTTGTTTCTGATTTTTATTCTGGGAGGGATGGGAAGCCTTAGGAAAAGGGGGTAACAGGACCGGATTTTATGTTGTGAAAAAAGATCTCTCTAGTTTCTTCTTTCAGCAGAGACAGTGGGGACAAGAGAGGAAGCAGGGAGCTGTCATGTGGCTATCATGGCAGCCCAGTCTGATTCAATTCTAATTCCGTTTCCGTTCACTAAATGAGAACACACAACTTCACACAGCAAAAATCCAATAGAGTGGACTTCTGAAAACACGTTGCTCATGTTCCTCTAGGGCACCTGTCCCCATACCAGTGTTCTTAGTTATTTTGTAGGTAAAGTTATCCGGCTGTGCCAATGACAACCGAAGCTCCTTCCTTCTTTGGTGCAGGAACAATTGCTTCCACGTGAATGCACCCAGGTGTCGATCGGTGATGTTGCTGCAGTCCCATCTCTGCAGAGAGTGTGCCCTGGAAAGTCACAATCCCATCAGGCTGTGCTCAGTCAGTTCACCTCCTCAGAGGCCTGGTGACATCACAACCCCTTACTCACACTCACTTTCCTGTGTGCCTCTCACAACACAGCCACACACGGGCCTCGGTACACAGCATGGGTACAGTCAGATGCTCTCCTCTCCCCTTCCCTCCTTACCCGTTCCCTTCCATGACTCACCTCCACAGGTAATTGCTGTCTGCAACCCTATTCCAATCCTATGGAGAGAAAGGAAGAGACAAGCAGGCAATCAGTTCCATCAGAGAGCAGAGGCAATGCTCTGCTGTTATGTGTTCTGGGAGCCCGACCCGCACAGTTACTCAGATGGGATTCCAGCTCGCAAAGCCCTCCCAGTGTGGAGAGATGAGGAAACGGGAACAGAGACCTATCACGGCTAAAACAGGCACGTGGTATTCCCATGAGTTCAGAG